AATAAGTGGCACACAGTAAATGACATTTTTTGTAACTTTCTTAATAATGGTATGCATTTCTTCAACATGGGGATTCCAGAACTGCATTTTAATTAAATTAAATCTTCTACTCCAATTCGACAACTCTCAGCCAAGATGTGAACTTTGAGTGACAAATTAAAATGACGGAAATAAAACGATTTGGCTTCATTGTCAAACTGGCAGTATTCGACAGAACATTGAAATGGACTTACTTACATTTGTTCAAGGAAAGATTCAACCATCATAAAAGTCATTCCTATTTCATTTATTTAAAGATCTGAAATATCCATACAGTTTAAAAGTTATTACTTTCCACTCAGAACTGAGTATGTTTGGCGTTGTGAGTGAAAGCTTTAACCACTAGGCTACCAGCTGCCCCTAGAGAACATACAAGCCTCCATGCCAACTGGAGTGAGTGAGTGAGTGAGTATGGTTTTACGCCGCTTTTAGCAATATTCCAGCAATATCACGGCGGGGGACACCAGAAATGGGCTTCACACATTGTACCCATGTCGGGAATCGAACCCGGGTCTTCGGCGTGACGAGCGAACGCTTTAACCACTAGGCTACCCGACCGCCCCCATGCCAACTGGATGATCAGAAGGTTCATATGACATGATCTCCTGTAGAAGATGTGTAGTAGATCTTGACGGTATTGATTCAGAGTAAAAATTTGATCTGAGATAATAATATTGCTAAGACGTCAGCCTTACAACTGATTTTGATTTGCCTTTAATTTGATTATTTGTTTGTAAAAGGAACAGATTTGATTTGATTTTGGATAATTGGTTGATTCAATTATAAATTATGATATAAAGTTTTTAGAAAATATATTTGTACAAAAGGAAAAATAAATTCCCACAAGTCACCAATGATGAGGATAAATGTTTCCAAAGAGTTTCTTAAAATACTTGCAAAATTTATGAAAAGTGTAAAAAAATGCATTAATACATCACGTACAACAATATTTTGCTATTACCAAGATCACAGATTTACCTAAAGTCACAATAATTTGAAAAACAAATCATTTAAAAAATGCTCTCTGATCACGTTATAACATCTTCTCAGAGGAGGGAAGGACAACAGAGTCAGACTTAGCGAAACTGTCTATAACGAAGGATAGACAAAACAGACAAGACAACAACCTTCCTGCTGTGCCCAGCATTCATTATCTGACTAGTCAAGTCATTAATCAGATCCTCATCAATAATTATTACATCAACACTGACTCAATCCATGATTGAAAACTAATCAATACAGCCAGACCGCCAGCAATCATCACCATGGCTTGCTGCAGTCACTGCTGGTTTCGCCATTTCTATTTCTAATGTCATTTCAGTTTTGAAAATAAATATAAAGTGGTATTAGGGAGCCTCCATTTGAATGGATGTTTTAGGGGGGGATAGTTTTGAGAACAATCTATTTTGTTTTCCCCATCTGTAACCATTTATTTACTATTCACGTAGTACAGAATACTACGTCCCTCATTCAGTCTTGCTGGACAATGGTATCAGGATCTATACCGAAACATTGCTTTTTACAGTATTAAAGAAGTTGTTATTCATAAAATTGTGTCTACCTTGTCATCTGTCAACTTCTAAGTAATGCCTATCAAACAATAAATCAAACAATCTATTCATTTTCACTATAAACACACAATTTTGACAATTGGATATTTTCCACAAAAGAAGCATTTCATTTTTTTCACCACTGCCAACAAACTATTCATTTGGGACATATTTCTGAATAAAATATTTATTTAATAATGTTTTCATGCTCATAATCAAATGGATGCAACCTTTGTATAAAATGTAAGTTATGTAAGAAAGACACTTATTTGTGTTCTGATAAAACAATCAAGAATTAACTTTCACTTTGTAAGTTCATTGGAGTATGAACCTTCATCATCCAGGTATGAACATTGGATCTAACTTGGTAAAGTGTTGTAAAAATCAAATACACATTCCAAATTACTCAGAATCCAGATTCATACCCAGGAAAAATATTTAATACCGACTACAACTAACTGTGAAAATTAATCTCCTGCAGATCTAATTTAACCCTAGCTATCTCATCTCTACAGTGACTGATTTTAGATATGTTTTCAGGAAAGTAGTATCAAACAGCCATTTTGTCCACACACAACTCATGCAGGGACACCATGGCAGACAATTTCACAACATTGAATCAAATAGGAATGTTGAACAATTGCTTCTCATCCCCACTGATTTAACATAGAAATCCACATCAAGACACAGGAATGTTCATTTAAATAAGCTGTATCAGATAAACAATAACCAATAGTGTTTAGCAAAATAGTTTCCTGCAGACTCATTATATGACACTCTTCAATACAAAACTTCAGGAGCATCTATAAGAAAACCCTCCCTTCAAACCTTTAATAGGAAATGACATAAATATTTTAGAACATGAGAGAAAATACGTAAACATTCAAATATGTTGAAAATTCCATCCAAAATAGATCGTCTATTTTCAAATGGTGAAACTTGAAAAAAAGTTGATTTCTTCAGAATTTAGGAGTTTACAAAACAATGTAGTTGCTTAGCAACTATCGCTTGGAGGGATTGTTCTGCAAAGCACTGGGTCTGTATGCAATATCCAACATTGTTGTCACGCGTAGGCTGGCATAAATGAATCAGTCGATTGTTTCTCCTTAACAAGGAGGAGAGAGCCACTTCATACATGTATTCTCATTGTGGAACACATTACTCGAAACAAGTAACATGGCTCGGTGGCTTTCAAGAGCAATGGACCCTGATGCTCATCTCATGATGAATATATACTTGCCTGTTATATAAATTGATTAGAAATAATAAAACAGTAACATTGGACGGTCTAGATTTCACAATACTTGGAGGAGCATGGCAAGTTCCACATCAAACATAAACCAGAACAATTGTTTTGTTTATAAGCCAACTCTAAAGTTTGAAAATCCATAAAAAAAAAAAATGCAATGTTTGAATAAAAACTTGCTAACATTGAAAATTAGTTTTTCAATTATTTTTTCAAAAATATATTTTTATATCGAGAGCTTGAGTTTTAGAAATTAACCTAAAGTAATTATTTTTGTAAAAAATAAATTGGTTTCTTAATCATGGCATTTAAACTCTGTAAAACAAGTTGTAAAAAAAATGGTCTGGCTTTATTTCGTACATCATCAATACTTCCCACGTTTGTATACATTGTATACCTCCATCTGCTGTGAATACATACGGCCGCTACGTGGTGTACTAGCGACGTGTGTCAGAGAATGACGCGAGACTGTGTCAAACTCAAATGAACCCTACCCTGTGCATAAACTTTGAAAACCCAACTCTGCCCAATACTGAAGCAAGGTATGGAGTACCGTATTTCCTCGAGTAAATGCCCAGGCGTACATTTCTTTACCACTGCATTTAATCCTGGCCAGACATTGATGATTTTAATTTGCAACTAATGATCTACTCAGACCCATGTTCGATACTGTAGTTTCTCCCCAATGCTTTTATTAAGTAGGGTCGCTGTGTAGAGTTGCGCCCCTTGGGCACGCCAGAAACCTATGATTGTGGGTTCGAATCCCGGTTCACCCGATTATGTTTCTAGGTTTGTCAGCACCATACCCGTGCTCGTGGGTTTCACTGAAGTGGTAAACGTCTGAGACCTGCATCACTTCGGGCTTTTCTCCCACATTAAGCTGACAGGCTGCGATATAACTGGAATACTGTTAAAAGCTGCGTTAAACCGAACTCACTCACTCACTATTAAGTGGGGACAATGTGTTCTACCCAAACATAACGAGAGGAAGAATTCCGAGCATAAAAATAACCTGGCATTTACTAGAGACCTGGCGTTTAATCGAGACCTGGCTTTTATTATCTTCAGATACCCCGTACCCCGTTGTTTATACGATGCTTGGCGTTTAATCGAGGAAATACGGTAGAGGGCTGCAAGGCTATGGCACATGTTGCATGAGAAATATTGCACAGGTCTGGGCACTAGCAGGGCTCGATTTAAGAAACTTGATTTAACATGACTTCCCCTCCTCCCAATAATATATGACCAGTCCCTAAAGAATGTTACCTGTCCCCCCTTAATATTTATTTATCAAAACAGAACCCCCCTCCTCCCATAGTTTGGCAGACCCCCTCTTTAGCTGTGTCATTTTTTCATGCCCCCTCAATGTCCCCAGAACCCCCTCCCCTATAATAAATGACCTGTTGCTTACATAAGCTGATATGCACCTCTGGTTCGGCTTATCTACAAATAGCACCAACATCATTATCACTTCACTGGCTACACAGATATACTTCCTTCTAAATACTTAAGACCGGTCTCATGCACAACAGATATTCAGAATGTGAAAACTACCAACTGTGATTCAGTTTAAGCAGCACCAGGTGCATGTTGACATGAAAAGCTAGTTGCACCAGATTAAACTATGTTGCATCCTGGTCCTATAATTTATCCAAGATGAAACATAGATGCGTAAACATGTCTAAATAAGTACAATCTTAGATCTCTGATGACTGTGTCATGTATCATGAATTACACATACCGTATTCGACGTAATAAGCGCCCCGCTTTAATAGTGAGTGAGTATGGTTTTATGCCGCTTTTAGCAATATTCCAGCAATATCACGGCGGAGGTCACCAGAAATGGGCTTCACACGTTGTACCCATGTCGGGAATCGAACCTGGGTCTTCGGCGTGACGAGCGAACGCTTTAACCACTAGGCTACCCGACCGCCCCCCCGGCTCTAATAAGCGCCCACGGCGATATTTGCTAATATATTGGCCTGTGAACAATCCTAATTAGCACCCCTTCCGATTGATCAATGTACACAAGACTTATTTATTCGCGTATAATACAAACTCATGTGTTATATGCACACTTAATTATGGGCAATTAAATTCTGGAAATATATATCTGTCGTACATAAACATAAACAACCATGAAATTTATCTTTTAACTGTTTTTTTCCAATAAAATAATTTTCTAATAAGAGCCCCCTATTTCTAATTTTGAGAGCGCCCTGGGCGCTTATTACGTCGAATACGGTAATACAACAATTAGTGATGTAGTATGGTAAACAAAGAATAGAAGTATTGATTGTGTTCAAAGATCGTTGTTGTGTCGACAAGTAAGGGTTAGTCAAACACAAATCTATTTTTTTTATTTAAAACACCTGGTGCAAGCAGACACAAGTATTAGGGTGCATTTTTCAATATAAGGTTGTAGAGGTCCATGTTTTATATCACTAAATCGAGCCCTGACTAGTTCCCGCTCACTAGAACTAAGCCTTTGTTCAACTTGTTGGTTAAAAACAGTGACTACACCACAAAGCGTATGTATTCATCGGTGATGGAGAAACATGTATACCACTCAAAAGAAGTTAAGGAACACCCGTTTCTTCATATTACTGCAGTCAATCCATCATGACAGATCATGAAAAAAATCAGGTGTTCTTGAACTTCTTTTGAGAAGAATATAACGTATGTGTGAATTATTGATGATGTCCTTTGTTTGTAAAAAATATCATTCATATCTGGAAGCCTTATAATTGTGACACTTTCCGATCAGAAAAACAGCTTAAAACAGTTGAGTATTCAAAATGACTAGATACATTCAAAACAGTTTTGTGCACGATATATAACAAAACACAGAACTTGAACAGACTAGATATCACACAAATCAACAATGCTTTGTTGTAAATACACAATAAACAGCTATCACTGCTCTCCCTATCATAAACCCCTGCCTTAAAGTGAGGGTAGGACTTGTGAGTGTAAATAAATACAACCAGATTAAGCTCCTGATTGTAGTCAGTTACAAAAACAAAGATGGCATCTGATTAATCATCAAATAATAGGCCACTATGACCTACTTTTTAACAGTGACCTAATTCATTGTTCTGAAACTAATTGAAAATTTGACTATCATGTGGAAGTTCGCAACAAACTATTTATAGATCCCTCATCAAGCCATACAGATATATAGAGATAAACGAGGGATTAGTGTAGAACTTTAAACTATGTGCTTGTGGCAGACCAATTGAGAGAATTTAATATTTTGACCCAAAAATAAAAGTTGTTTTATTGTCCATAGTTAAATTCAGAGGGATTTTAACAATGAATTGAATGCAAAAACTGTAATTCTTAGTACTAAAGTCTCTTTGGTCCCATTAGCAGTTAACTACAACCAGCTTTGTAAAGCTAAGATAATTGTTGAAACAATAACAATCTGAATCGGTAATTTTACATTTTATAAATTCGGAATGTGAATCAAAATTTGTGTAGACATTGGGTTCAATATCAGTCTGAGAATTTATAACACCTCTGTAAAATCGTGTAAACCCAGTGGTGAAAGTAAAGGTATATATCGCTGATTTGATACCTCTAAACTCGAGATACTACATCACAACAACATTCTATTACTACATCACAAAAGTGATAATAAGTTTGTATTAGCGCAGGCAGGAATTGGTTCTTAAACTTTGAGATTCTTCACTAGAAACAAAGCTCAAATATATGTATGATAAAACAGCTCCATTTTGACCCAACCAGTCCAGTCATCAACAATCTATATATAACCAGTTGTCCACAGGTTAACGACAACATTAACATTTGCACAAAATCTCAAATAACAATGAAACAATGACGATCACAAATATTCATGGCGTCTTAACTGTTACTAAACATTAATTACTATGGAGTACACAGCATTCCATGAAGATGATTTGAATGTTGATATACTAGCATGGATTTGGCAGTAAACAGGAAACTAGTACTTCTATTCTCAGGCAACAGGGAATTCTGGGATAGCCATCACATGGCATTTTTAGTTGTAAGTCACAGAGCCATAATTTGACACAAAAACACAAGGCCATCATCATTATAACATCCTTGTAAAAACATTCTTGTAAACAAACTGATTTCAATATGATATATGTCCTTGCGTGAAGATCTCTTTATCCTTAAAAAAACACACGAAAAAACAACTGTCAAACAGTTGTTCGACAGGAATCTTTTTTTCATAAGGGTAAGATCTCTACATTCAGAGCATATATGGCTAAAAAAAATAACAGTCTTGGTTCTCATGCTCTGCCCACATCATCATAAAGTCTTCGTTTCGTTTTTGTTTCAATTTTCATTTTTTTGTGCATTGTGTTTAAGTATTAGATTTATATATTTTTTTGAAAATGGAAATAAAAACAAAATGTGCGGCAGACTTTATGATGATTCGGGTGGTGCCTGATAACAAAGACAATTATTTTTTTAGCCTAATTGAACAAAAAGTTAAAAAGCTAGACTAGTAAAATTTGTTGATACAAAAAAATTGTTTTAGCTAAATTGTCGCAATAAAAAAACTTTTTAAAAAACTTTTAAACATTAAAAAAAAAAGGAAGTTGAGGTTAACTGAAACTGAATGTTGGCAAGTTTGATTAGAGTTACCTGCTCTTGCCATGTAAAAACCCAGAAAATAGTCGAGCAGGATAGAAAATGACATTAAAATAGTCAGTCTAAATCTATCTTAGACTTAACCTCTTCTGGAAATATAAAAAAATATCACAGATAGGACAGAAAGAATCGAACCAGTGGCATCATCTCCCGTTTCTTTTTATCCCAGAGGTCCTTGATGAGATACCCAAGATAGAACCAGTCCCCGCTGCTGTGGGTCGTGTACGTCTGTATGTCCACATGGGGCTTGAAGTTGAATGATGGCAAGTACATTGAATAGATAACCTGTTGGTCAGTGCTCATTAACGACTGGTCAAGCAGCATTCTGACCGCCTTCATGTAGTCCTTGGTGTACATATACAGAACCTCTGGCCTACCCAGAAACATCGCACCACAAACCCATACCCGGTTCTGAAATATGACCTCTGTAGGGGTCAAGGATGCTTCGAAATCGTGGACCTCGCTGTAGGCAACTTTGTTCTCGTCCCATAATGGTGGCGTCTGGATCGGGAATACGGAACCTTCGCCAGCGATGTCGCGAAATAAACCTATATCTAACCAGCTGAGATATTTTGTTTTGTAAAGCTGTTCTCGAATGACCTTGTTAACTAGCTCAAATTTTGCGTGCATGACGCAGGAATAGTTCTCGTTAACTGTATTTGGGTGATATTTTGGGTAGTTATGTTGGCGATAAACATTTCGTATTTCCCCAGCGAGGGAAAAGGACCAAAGTTTGCTTCTTTCAAGCAAGATTATTTTGGACTGGTTCGATGCAAAATTTTGTCTGAGTTTTACGAAAAGGTCATAAACATCCTGGCTGTCAGTGAAAACAACGAGGGGGTTATTGAGTCTGGCGAACACCTGCATCCAGTGTGTGTAGAGGTGGGGCGTGTAGCTGTAGCCGGTGCCCTTGGTGAACTTGCCGAGGTTGAAGTACGCTGTGATGATGGTGACGTCGGGTGACAGGTGCTCCTTCATCACATGACTATGGACGTTCTCCAGGCCGGTGTCTCCACGCCACATAAATTCCGACAACTACAAGACAAATATAGGAAGACTAAATCATCTCAGCAGATGTATTCTGACAAGCACAGAACAAATACATGAAGACTAAATCATCTAAGCAGATGTATTCTGACGACCACGAGAAAAAGATGAAGACAAAGTCATGTGCTCTACAGACAAGACAAATTTACGAAGACTAAATCATCTCTTCTTCAAACGTATTCTGACAACCACAAGACTAAATTTACGAAGGCTAAATCATGTGCTCTACAGATGTATTCTGACAAAACAAATTTACGAAGACTAAATCATCTTTACTACAAACGTATTCCGACAACCACAAGACTAAATTTACGAAGGCTAAATCATGTGCTCTACAGATGTATTCTGACCAGACAAATATACGAAGACCAAATCTCCTCTCAATAGAAGTTTTCACATAACCACAACACAGAAAGTATGAAGGGCAAGTTCCACCACATTACAAGGCACACTAACCTGTGTGGGGCGTGCTGCCCAGGTACTCGAGTTGAGGCGCAGGTTTGCATCTGGAAACACAACCAGAGTCATCAAGAAATAGAACATTCCCCAGACAGCTACTTCCAGTGTGTTAATGATTCACAACTTAAGAAAACCAGCCAAAAACAGTTTGGCAAGAAGGAGCAATGAGGGTGCCAATTGTCACTATTTCGGTACACTAGATGCCGAGCCCTGTTAAGTGGTATTCCAGATGCCACAGTGCAGAACACTGGATGCCATGAAATGCTTTTATACGGTACTCGGATACAAATATTACAATGTTGAAACATATTTTGCATCAATCTCATTAAAATCATATCTTAGTTCTCGCTATCGCTAAACAAAGATCTGTGGACATCCCATTACGGGTCACGTCAGAATGACCTTTCATCCGACCAATCAAAGTGTATCTTACCAGATCATGAAAGTGATAGTCGGAATGTGTTGTCTAATCATGCAGCCTCGAAAACGTTAACACAGGGTATTCCGAACGACAGTAATGGCCCCTACAAATGATTCCGTCAAAATTATCGTCTATCTCTTGCTTCCATGGGATAAACATTTGAATGGAGGAGGCGTTGCACAGTACGTAGGAAGCACTGCCATACAATTTCAACCATATATTAGACATTCCAGAATGTTTGTTTGTTCAGTTTTCAAAATTTTAATCGAGAACTGTCAACATATTTTTCAAGCGTAGTCTGAAATGGAAGTTGCCAGGTTGAAACGAGTGCCGTAAAGCAAGCTGCTTTCTAATTGGCTGATGTCGACTTCTTTTAAGTCATTTCAATGGTCGGTCAAAGTTCACGAAAGGGCGTTCTGACGTGACCCGTAATGGGATGTCCTCAGATCTTTGTTAAGCAGCCGCAAGAACTCAGATCTGATTTTAATGAGATTGTATTTTGCATCTTCTTGCATACAGTAACAAATCAATACAATATTTCACCCTTAGCTTATCAGAATGGATAATTGTAAGCAAGGATTATATCCTACCTAAATATTATCCCGGGGGAAGTTTTACTCAGAGTATAGTATCCTACCTTAGTGTGGGAAATACCACCGATGTACTGATGTGACTCAAAAGTTCTTAAATGGTACTAAGTAAGGATGAGATATGAACAACTTCTTTATTACAATTAGCATGATTAGGAGCGACGTTTCAGTGTAGATTATAACACTGTTGCATCACTTGCTTGATAACAGCGTAAGAACCCACACCGAAACATTGCAATAATAGAAGTCATTCTTATCCTTTCTTAAAGGGCTGGGACGAGTCCAAATTTACTACCCCGGTACCCAACCCCCTATTACCCAACCCTACCCAGGTACCCACTGTAGTTGAATGAAGTTTTATCTTTATGCAAACATATAAAAGTCAGAATGTATGCAAACAGTGATTAGCCACGGGTCCAGGTAGTCCTGTAGGTATGCGGGTCGTACTCATTACCCACCCGACATGAGTACCCAAGATACCCTTCCCAGCCCGTACGGGTCCTACTCAGTACCCACCCGACATGAGTACCCGAGTTACCCGTCCCAGCCCTTACGGGTCCTACTCAGTACCCACCCGACATGAGTACCCGAGTTACCCGTCCCAGCCCTTACGGGTCCTACTCAGTACCCACCCGACCCGAGTTCCCAGTCCCAGCCCTTACGGGTCCTACTCAGTACCCATCCAACATGAGTACCCGAGTTACCCGTCCCAGCCCTTACGGGTCCTACTCAGTACCCACCCGACATGAGTACCCGAGTTACCCGTCCCAGCCCTTACGGGTCCTACTCAGTACCCACCCGACATGAGTACCCGAGTTACCCGTCCGAGCCCTTCTTGGTCCTACTCAGTACCCACCCGACCCGAGTACCTGAGTTCCCGGTCCCAGCCCTTCCGGGTCCTACTCAGTGCCCACCCAACCCGAGTACCCGAGTTCCCAGTCCCAGCCCTTCCGGGTCCTACTCAGTACCCACCCGACCCGAGGACCCGAGTTCCCAGTCCCAGCCCTTCCGGGTCCTACTCAGTACCCACCCGACCCGAGGACCCGAGTTCCCAGTCCAAGCCCTTCTGGGTCCTACTCAGTACCCACCCGACCCGAGTACCCGAGTTCCCAGTCCCAGCCCTTCCGGGTCCTACTCAGGACCCACCTGACCCGAGTACCTGAGTTACCCGTCCCAGCCCTTCCGGGTCCTACTCAGGACCCACCTGACCCGAGTACCTGAGTTACCCGTCCCAGCTCTTGGTATGCGAGATGCCTAGGAGCAGGTAGGCACCATCAGCAAAGGTACACAATCAATCAACTTTAAGACATGGTAACCTTAACATTCTCTTGGCTTGCTGCTGCTGCTGCTGTTTGACTTCCAAGGGTGGAAACTGGACTTTTATAGTCAGTTAACGCCCTTGCCTAGGGAAGATGGACCTACCATTTCAATATTCGTACTGTGGCTCAGAGTATAACAATGCACTGAAGCTGCATCACTGATTATTAACATTTTTGTTTGTTTTTTAACACCACACTCCGCAATGTTGCACCTATATGATGGCGGTCTGTACATAATAGACACTGGACTAGACAATCCAGTGATTGACATAATGAGCATCCATCCTGGGTGAAGAAATATAGTTGTTGTTCTGAAGTAAAAGATTCAAACGGTTAGTCAGGCTTGCTGACTTGTTTGATGCATGTCATTGTATCCTGATTGCGTGTTTGATGCTCATGATGTCAATCACTGGATTGTCTGGTCCAGATTTGATTCGTCGTCATATAGCAGGAATATTGCTGATTGCATTAAGCAACAAACAAACAAACAAACAAACAAAAAGAAAAAAAGTTTGACTTACAATACACAGCATAGGAAGTATAGAGGATGCCCACGAGAAGCACAAGGCCCTTCACGTAGTGCTGCCATTCCTTCTGCCAGTCTCCTCGGGCCCCACACATCGTCAATAGCTGAAACCACATCATTTAGTTGTTAGACCCGTGAACATTCAGGGTAGAATAGGTCTTCAGCAACCCATGCTTGTCGTAAGAGGCGACTAACGAGATCGGGTGGTCAGGCTCACTGACTTGGTTGATGCATGTCATCGTATCGTAATTGCGTGGATTGATGTTCATGATGTCAATCACTGGATTGTCTGGTCCAGACACGACTATTTACAGACTGTCGTCATATAACTAGAATATTGCTGTGCAGCATTAAACAACAAACAAACAAAATTTTAGTTAAGAATCTAAGGCCTGTCTGTTTAAAATTTGTTGATGTGCAGATTTCAAAATCAATATAAAAATAAAATTTGACACTTCAATTATTATTTTGGCTTTTTGAAAAATCAGTGTGATGAGAAAATATAGAACTTCCAATTCTCCACTTTCCATTTGGCATTTTTGTACTGTGAACAAATCCATACACAGTAAACCTGGGACCCTTACCACTTTGGTGAAACCCATGGACCCGTGAAGATCCAGGGTAGAATAGGTCTTCAGTAACCCATGCTTGCCATAAAAGGCGAATATGCTTGTTGTAAGAGGCGACTAACGGGATCGGGTAGTCAGGCTCGCTGACTTGGTTGATGCATGTCATTGATCCCAATTGCGTGGATCGATACTCATGATATCAATCACTGGATTGTCTGTTCCAGACTCGATTATTTACAGACCGCCGTCATATAGCTGGATTATTGCTGAGTGAGGCGTAAAACAACAAACCAAACCAAAGAAACCCATGAGCATGGATATTGTGCTGACAAGCCTAGAAACATAATCGACCTGGGATTCAAACCCACCATCACAGGTTTCTTGCAACGCCTTAAACGACTGGGCCACCCGTGCCCCCACTTAAAGTTCCAACAAAGAAACGACACTTTACGATCCACATATCACCAATCTAATTGTATACCTAATTTCTATTGAGCATACAGTAAGCTGTTCCAATAATAATAATAATGATGATGATGATGATGATGATGATGATGATGATAATAATAATAATAATAATAATAATAATGTGCACTTATAATGGGCTTGCCTCCATGTAGCAGTTCATGCTCAAAGCACTACATTCAAATGTCATTCTGGAAAGCTTTTTTGAACATATGTGTCTTTAGTTTCGCTTTGAATGAGTATATTATCACTACACAAATGAATTGCCAGTAATAGCTGTAATCAGATGTTTGTACATTCTGTGACAAAACACCAAGGTGCGAGAAAACACCATCAATTACATATCTGATTCAGTGAATGAGGGACTATGTTTGTTTTTTTAATTTCGAAAATTCATGAGGCAAGCACACGTTCAGAATTGAAATGACAGCTGCCAAAAAAGTAACAACAAATCCATATCGTTGCGTGTCTGTCATATGTGATTAAAAGGTCACACTGTATCCAGATTATCACCAACTTTAGGGGTCCAAGTGTCTTGCGGAATGTGGAAATGTGGAAACTCCTAACAATGCTTAAGGTGCAATTGAGTGAGTGAGTGAGTGAGTATGGTTTTACATCGCTTTTAGCAATATTCCAGCACAGCAGGGAGCACCAGAAATGGGCTTCACACATTGTACCCTTATGGGGAATCATTTACAATTCATTAAAGACCCACTATAAGAATTTACGTTTTTTTGCCTGTTTTTAGAAACAACTTAGAAACAAAATTGTTTAAAAAGGAGATAGTAATATATGTACTTTCACACAAATAAACTGAACAAACACAATGAAAATGAGTGAGTGAGTGAGTTGGGCTTAACACTGCATTTAACAGTATTCCAGTTATATCGCGGCGTGTCAGCTTGATGTGGGAGGAAAGCCCGAAGTAATGCAGGTTTCAGATATTTACCACTTTGGTGAACCTACTGGTACTGACACACCTAGAAACATAATTGGGGCGAACCGAGATTCAAACCCAGAATCATAGGTTTCTGGCAAGCCGAAGGGACGCAACTCTGCACAGCGGCAAATCGCTGCGCCTTGCATGATTTGTCTACTCGTGCGTATAGAGGACGAGGGTCCATGCCTGCAGCAAATGTCAGCAACGTTTCCCAAATTGGAAGTCATAATTTCCCAAATTATGCTGTTGTAGATGTATTTAAAGTTACGTCTTTGTAGAGGTGACTTGTATGTCACTGATAACAGGACCAATAAAGGGGAAAAGAACTCAGTCCTCAATTTTACATAAATTCATTGAGCATAATGTTAAAATACCTTTGACTTAAAAAAATAAATAAAAACTTTAAAAAAGTCATCCCAAACTCACATACTTTTCCCAATTTTCCTTCATGTAAAATCCTAGCTAAATCTGTGGGATCAAAAGAATTCTTCTTGTGGGCACATTTATCTTCCAAAGGGCACATTTAAACAGTGTGCTCTTTGGCACATCTCAACACAAACATGTCCATCCATGTGTACTCTTATCATAGGCTGAAATATGTTGCCAGTGCACCAGTTATTAAAAAAGTGAAAATATATTTGCTACACATTTTGACATGCAGAAACAGTAGAAAGCTAGGGCTCACGCAGAATGTGGTATACCGTGCCATACTGTCCCCATCATCTCGATCTGTCTAGCAATGTAGCATGACTGGAAAAGGTCTAATAAATTATGTACGACACATGGAATAATGAGCGATTAAATACGGTTCGATCGATCTTACACCATGACTACTACAGCCAAAGCAACAGGCGAACTCTCTCCCTTTTGTTTAATGTTCAACAAATCACCACACTCAAGACACTATTCCACTGAAGCTCATTAAGAATTTTCACTACAATGACAGACGAAGACAGAATTAAAAAGACGACCAATATTGTTCACCATATGATATACAGTCGATATGCATATACGTGGTGATAAATGTAATATCGCCTCAAATTGAATTAAATTAAATGCGGAGATTTTCAAGCTAAGAAATGTGTAGACATGTTTAATAACAACTATGCACATGCATAAAATCATAATCGGTTACCATTTACATAGTCTCGTGATCAGTGCATTCCGGCTGGATGGTGTGTTTACACGGTTATGCTTCTTTCAGAGATGTTTGTGACCTCCTTAAACAAGATGTTTCAGACTAAATCGTTGTGATGGCGAACAAGTGAAAAACGCGCGTTAATAGGGCGGGGAAATGCGTCAAGACGCGTTTGAATTGACTGAGAAACAGCTATGAATTATGACTGTATATCATCTATGTGGTGCAAGATAAGAGAGTTAATAATATAATGTGTATAATGTTTCCATTGTAAGCGCCTACGTCATTGGTGACGATATGAGTGATGACGTCAGAGTAGGTAATAACAATCTGACATTAGATTCAGTTTTATACTATACTATGTAATTACAGCTAAAAGTCACGTCATTACACCTATACGTTAAGCGTAAATGCCGGGGTTACACGTTAAGCCCCCTCGTAATTTAGCCCATGAGTATAAAAGCGGAATATTAAAACGCTTTTAAGCCCATGGGCATAAATTAAATTGAAAACCCTGATTGCTCTCCCATATTGGATGCTCATCAACATGGCTGTGTTGTAGCGCGCTTCTATTGCACCTGGGGCGGCGGGGTAGCCTAGTTCGGGTTCGATTCCCGACGTGGGTACAATGTGTGAAGCCCATTTCTGGTGTCCCCGCCGTGATATTGCTGGAATATTGCTAAAAGCGGTGTAAAACCATACTCACTCACTCACTCACTCTATTGCACCTTAAGCCTTGTCAGGAGTTTCCACATTTACAAAAAAAACTTGGACCCCTAACGTTAGTGATATTCTGGTTACTCAGTGTGACCTTTTAATCACATATGACAGACACGCAACGATATTGGTTTGTTGTTACTTTTTTGGCAGCTGTCATTTCAATTCTGAACGTGTGCTTGCCTCATAAATTTTCACGAATATCTCCTTTTCCCCGTCACGAGATGAGAGAAACATGATATTTCACTTGACACATGGAATATCCCACTTATAAAAATATTATACGTTTTGTGTAGTTGTCTACCGGAAAATTAAATTACATCATTACAAAAGTAAAACCTGGAAACGCAAATTTTCCCTACCGGCCGGTTCACCACCCCTTGTATTTGCGACTTAAAAAGTAGTTTCGTGTTTGCAAAATCTTAAAAAATATAAACAAAAGTATCCAAAACTATTTCGGGTCACGAAAAATCTTTATCATATATATAGATATAATTACATACAAAATCAACTCTAACAAAAAATATTCTTGAAAACTAGGAAACCGCTGTTGGAAGCAAAACAAATACACGCTGGTCAAGTAACAAAAATGGCGCTTTACGAATCGAACAGTCTCGATTGACAAGTTAAATGAGCAATTTACAGTTTGTAACGAAACACTTTCGAGAGAATAACAAACGGAAAGAAGTGATATTAACTCCATAAATGACCATCTGTCATTATCTTGTCTTGTGAATGTGGGAATAGCGTAAAAATGACGTCAACGTTTTGTGTACGGGCTAGACTTACGATAAAGGGAGACAATTTAAGGGGAGGTAACTCTTGTATGACAAAAGTTCCTTCAAAGTGTTATGTTCACTGTAGTGAAATATCAAGTGTTATGTTCACTGTAGTGAAATATCACGTGTTATGTTCACTGTAGTGAAATATCACGTGTTATGTTCACTGTAGTGAAATATCAAGTGTTATGTTCACTGTAGTGAAATATCACGTGTTATGTTCACTGTAGTGAAATATCAAGTATTATGTTCACTGTAGTGAAATATCAAGTATTATGTTCACTGCAGTGAAATATCACGTGTTATGTTCACTGTAGTGAAATATCACGTGTTATGTTCACTGTAGTGAAATATCAAGTGTTATGTTCACTGTAGTGAAATATCAAGTGTTATGTTCACTGTAGTGAAATATCACGTGTTATGTTCACTGTAGTGTAATATCAAGTGTTATGTTCACTGTAGTGAAATATCAAGTGTTATGTTCACTGTAGTGAAATATCAAGTGTTATGTTCACTGTAGTGAAATATCAAGTGTTATGTTCACTGTAGTGAAATATCACGTGTTATGTTCACTGTAGTGAAATATCAAGTATTATGTTCACTGTAGTGAAATATCAAGTGTTATGTTCACTGCAGTGAAATATCAAGTGTTATGTTCACTGTAGTGAAATATCAAGTATTATGTTCACTGCAGTGAAATATCAAGTGTTATGTTCACTGTAGTGAAATATCAAGTGTGATGTTCACTGCAGTGAAATATCAAGTGTTATGTTCACTGTAGTGAAATATCAAGTGTTATGTTCACTGTAGTGAAATATCACGTGTAATGTTCACTTCAATGAAAATATCACTTTTCAAAACTTTGGAAAACTCAGTCTTTCACACTGAAGTATATAATAAATACCAATGACGCTGATTTCTCCCATCAATCAGTACAAATATGTTTTGTTTGTTATTTAACTTCGCGGTCCTGGTAAATCAGACACTGGGACACACAACATGAGATACATACCCACGTGGGAGTGATCCCCAACACACGCACGTATGGTATGGTTTTACGCCGCTTTTAGCAATATTCCAGCAATATCACGGCGGGGGACACCAGAAATGGGCTTCACACATTGTACCCATGTCGGGAATCGAACCCGGGTCTTCGGCGTGACGAGCGAACGCTTTAACCACTAGGCTACCCGACCGCCCCTCAAACATAAGAACAGTATAATGTTTATTTCGGTTCAAATTACAATTTAAAATGTCAAAAACACATTGTATGTATTGTTTAAAGCCGCACTATTCCAGCCATATGACGGCGGTCGGTAAATAATCGCGTCTGGACCAGACAATCCAGTGATTGACATCATGTACAACCTTTCACGCCGCCATAGAGCTGGAATATTGCTGAGTGCGGAGTTAAACAACAAACAAACAAATTACATGCAACTGTGAGAAATCAGTGTTGGTGGAGGGAATGAAACGGCAAATGAAAAAGTATGTTGAATGTCAAAATGTTAGGTTTGCATCACACTGATCAAAAAGCCAGAACATAATTGAAGTGTCAAGTTTTATGTTTATATTGATTATTAAATCTGCACATCAACAAATTTTAAACAGACAGGCCTAAGTTTCCTAACTAATTTTTTTGTTTGTTTGTTGTTTAACACCGCACTCAGCAATATTCCAGCTATATGACGGCAGTCTGTAAATATTCCAGTCTGGACCAGGCAATCCAGTGATTGACATCACGAGTATCTATCCACGCAATCGGGATACGATGGCATGCATCAACCAAGTCAGCAAGTCTGACCACCCGGTCCCGTTAGTCGCCTCTTACGACAATTTTTGCGAGAAAGTTGGAACACAAGTGGTTAAATATTTATGAATCCGAGAATGTCGTGTGTTTGTGTGAAATATAACGAACTCAAAGGGTCCACTAATTTTAGTTCGTTATAACCGTAGTTCGTTATAAGCATAATTATGTACAGCATGTATACAACAAATGTCCGGGACTAAAATTCAGTTCGTTATATCGGTCAGTTCGTTATAAGCGTGTTCGCTATAAACGTAGTTTACTGTAGTACAACTTTTCTTTTCTTTTTCCTCATCCATTTCCACATCTCTTTCAGTGTATTGTTAGACCGTTTTCGCCATTATGGTACCATTGTGACGAGGTGCCGATCTGAGTCAATTATTGATGTCAGTTCCTTGCACGTGATGCCAACACAAGCAAATAAGGCCAGACCTTTTGGTTTTCTTAAGGAAATTTAGATTGTGAAAAATATGGCTAGTGTAGGGCGAATGTTTTTGAAAAGGTATTGTGCAGCATTTTATAAAATCATCTTTAAATAAAAATGAAATAAATTTTGGCCTGACCTGGGTCCTCATAAATATTACATATCTAAAGCCTGCATAGAGGCAATGGATTCTCATTTTTAATGTCAAAGCCATCTGTACCGCATTAAGAAAACCCTTGTCATTGTGAGTTGTTTTCTTCTTTTTCGATCCCAAAACACAAGCACAAAGACACAATGTCTGATATTTCTGGATTGATTGACACATCGTTTGCATCTTTCAAGACGGTGCATAAAACTCGTTGAACTAAAAATCCGGAAAATAGAGTACAGCCGTTGTCAGCTCCAAACAGTGCTAACTCCAGGCTGTGCCAGTATGTGAATTGTGCATCGTTTCGTAGTAAGGAGCTTGATACGAAGTGACTTGACGAGCAATGTCGATATTAACTGAATAACGTGTATAAATATGATATATAATGATTTTGTATTAACTCTATCGTTCCCGTAATCAAATTTATTTGCAGTAAATAACAATAGACTTTTCTTCCCTTCGTATGAGCAAAATAGTCAAGATCGCATGCAACATTGAAGTTTAACCACACAAAATGTGACGTCATCAAATCGTGTGTACATTTCTTCCGGGTTTTCACCTGACATGCATTTTGGCAGCGGTGTCGGAAAGCGGTCAGTTTGGAATGTCACTGAACATGTTACGAATGTAATGATGAATGGGTGCACGGAGAGACAGTTATGTACATAGGCGAAATATCTGCACTCACTGTAAATAATTTGCGAGGGACGAAGTATAGAATCTAACACTCATCCAGGTCGACACCTCAGGTAAGTAAGTCTTCAGGTACCGCGCTCAGACGATCAAGATGTGTCATGCAGATATATTAAGAATGCAGTTTGATCTGTTTCTACTGTTTAATTAAATGTCATTTACTTTTCGAATATTAATGATTTTTTATTGTTCATTCATGTAATTTAATAGTTCAAGGTGATTAAGAAAGGGCAATTAATATATATGGTTAAATCGTAAGGTGATTAAGAATGGGTGACTTAATCATTTAATTGTTTGCAAATAATGTTTCGTTAAACATAAATCGTAATTTTAAGTAATTTGTTGATAAAGTTTTTTTCGTTATTATTGTAACCATGGTAATAGGCTTTGGTGGTTTCGTTTCTGAGTTTTAAAATGAACTATAACATCATGTCTTAAAGGGGCACTGATCTAAATTAATTCCCCGGGACTGGTTGTTGCCTTTGTTATTGTTTTTTCACATGAGTACCCGGATGAAACAGTAGAAATGTAGACTAAAGTACTCACGGAAATGAAAAAAACCTGTTTTTTTTTTACCTCAGATCTTAAATAAATGCAGTTAATATACAAAATATGTAAATATTCAAACAACTAAATTAGTTCTAATTGGGCCGTGGCACAAATACAGCGTATCAAATGTTTTTATGCCTTTTTACACGTAAAAGTGTGTAAAAATGTGAATAAAACAGACTATTGTGAAACAGGGCATAACCAGGTGTAAGTAGATCAAGGTGACCTATGACGACAGGTGAGAGGTGAGAACAGGTGCATAATGCCTATAGTCTGTTTCTGCCATGTCAATTTGGACTTAGTTTTATTTTTGAATGTTGAAAGTGCCGACAAATTACCTCCTGTAAAGTACATTTTGTATTGTTCACTGAGATCAAACTAGCAAATCCAGACTAGTACTTTTCGAGTTGTTTTGTTATTTCATATTTACAGCTACGTTACACTTTGTGTCGATTTTTAAATTGAGAAAAACAGTTTTTTTTCATTTCCGTGAGTACTTTCGTTCGCGACCTTTGCTGCGCAATTCGTAAGCGCATTTGTCACTTTTATTGATAGTATAACGGCGTATGGTCACATTGATCAATAAAATGAAATACAGTTTTGGAAACAATAAGGAAATGTAGGTATCTTTGTGGGTAGCATCGGTAATGGTGACGAAGTTTTGATAAGTCACTTGCTTGGTAATTGTGCGATTTTCGTTTACACTATTTTTACTTGCAACAAAAAGGAAATATTTCTCCTGAGTAGTGCTTATTTTATCGTGTTATATTTTTACAGTAAAAAATGTGCAACTTTTTCACTTAGGAAATTTATTAAACGCCTAAATATTCAGTTATTTTACAAATTGGCTGAAAAATATGTCCATCCGTATAATTATAAAACAAATTCCAAAGATTTTTATGTTTAATAACATCACCAAGAGGCTGTAAATGTTACGATGAAAAGTACATTTCTATATTGTTTGGCTTCTAATCCAATCTACATAATAATCTATTGTGATGTTTTTAGGCCCTATTGATCGTCTTAATCAATTTTAGTCAATCTGTTAAAGAAATGGATAGATTTTTCAGTCAAAATGACTGAAATATTTACACATTTTTATAAATTGCCTGAAAGAATCACATTTTACAAATTGACTGTAATATATACACACTTACAAAATAAAAGACTTGTGAAAACAACGTCTATCGCGCATCAAAGAATTTCCTAACCAAGACGTAGAGGAACAAGAATGAATCTGTTCAATGCTACAGCAAATGAAGGACATCAAAAGGCAAATATCATAATTATAACCTACCAAATTTATGTGTGTAATTTTAGGCAGCTTCCTTGTTCGAGGAATGTATCCGTGAATATCCACACAAAGGAACAATATCCCACACGTCTGCAGCTGTACAAAGAAACTTATTCGATGTCACGTGTCTCTGTAACAATCAAATATTTCAAAATATATATATATCGTTTTGGGATATGATAACCCGTATTTATTTCTCAACTGATCACTTAGATTGTTTCAGGTGTTTCACATAGGTGTCAAGTCTCAAAGGTCGGCTGAGAAAGCCCACGTGACAACTATTTTCATAACATCCAAGGTTCCTAAAAAAATCCATTGAGTTAGATAACAATGAGCAATCAATCAACGTATTATCGGTTAACCCTTTGAACAAAGTATGTTGTTTTTACATCGGCACTTCACGCCATGATATGAGTGTATTCCCCTCGTTTTAGTAAACTTTGACATGTAAACACTCTCTTTTGACACATCAACCGTGCAAGATAACAGTGATTAATCAATCAACGTATTTTCTGTTAATCCTTTGATGACAAGTAACGATCCGTTGATTCACAAAAAAGTAAATCAACTGATCATTCATCTCTTGCTGGGCTGCCACGTGCATATTACATAACACACATTTCACCTCACTTTAAACCTATATTTAGATTGAATAATTACCCCAGGCACAATAAATGCCAAATGAGAACCTTTGTCAGGTATTCTGAGTGGTGCTACAACTAATTATACCTGTAATAAATTCATTAACTGAGCATCAAGTGAATGACGACAAATACACAGGTGTAGGGTTATACCAGAAAACGTGGATGACAACAAGGGAGTAGTAATCGTATTATCGACGCAATCCGAAATCCGAAAATGCTTTCACTGCATGGATACTTTTTTTATGATTAAACTATAACCATCTGGGGTATTTCCAAATGACGACATCCGATGAGCTCCGCCGTTCCTTTTGTCTGTTTGTTTAGGCTGAAGAAATTAATTAACATGCGCCCTTTTTTTAAATCTTTATAGATCACGGTTAACCAATCTGTGATCCAAAATGCGTAAAACAAATATTGCCTCCAAGTTTATTTAGCTGTCCTTGCAGACGGTAGCTCAGTCTCTGGTCACGCTCAGTTGCGTTGCGTATCATCCGGGTACTCACAGGGAACAAAGGCAACAATCAGTCCCGGGGAATTGCTTTAGATCAGTGCACCTTTAATTATTCATCTGTTTGGAGCCTGTTCAACATGATTAAAGCCAGATAAAATCAATAATTGATTTATCTTCACTTTACTTCAAGATCCACTGCTGATAATAGTCAAGCTCCTTCCCAGCGCGTGACACCTTCGTTACACTCTCGGTAACATCGCTGCCACAAGTGTGGGCGCGACCATTACAAGAATCTTGAAATTTGCCCTCTAACCCCAAATGTAGTAACGTTTATACTTTTGTTTGTCTTTGGGAATGCCATCATATTTCAATTTGAAAAGGTTTACGACGGACCATGTTTTCCAGATGAATTTACTTTGTTGTTTGTATAATCAGATTGGTTCGAGATTGCAGACTAACGGAAAACCAACCAACTTCTCCCTTACATTCTTACTATATCAATAACACGATAGTTTTAATGAAACAGAAATTCAAATTGACAAACGAAGAAAGTAATTTAGCAGCTATAAGTGTATTCGGCGTCATGACAGTCGTCACTTGTTTGTAAACAAAACAGTCATTCGGGTGCGAGTTCAACTCCAAGCATGGTTGTGGCCACCTATTCACAGTGGGGAGTTTTGACTGGTGGCAGCGATAGTACGTTCCCGGAGCTCTCTATACTATCGCTGTGAGGAGCTTGGATAATAGTATGGGAAGGGAAGTAACTCTTTGCATTATCAGTACACGAGATGTTTATGGATAGCAACTTCTTTTTATTCTTCATCACGACGTTTCAGAGGTACTTCTCCTTCATCAGGTGAATGCTGAGTAAGTGCATAGAGTTTGTGTGTGTGTGTGTGTGTGTGTGTGTGTGTGTGTGTGTGTGTGTGTGTGTGTGTGTGTGTGTGTGATATATGTAATGATATGTTCACAACACAAAGTAGGATTAATGTACAAAGATAAGAATATAATGTCGAAGCCAATGAGATTAACAAGAGAGGATTCAATTAACATGATTAAGTACACTAAAGGTGTAGTGATGACAAGTATGCCAAGATAAAAAAATTTGCGAGGAAGTTGGAACACAAGTGGTTATATCTTTATGAATCCGAGAATGTCGTGTGTTTGTGTGAATTATAACAAAGTCAAAGAGACCACTAATTTTAGTTTGTTATAACCGAAGTTGCTATCGATAAAAGGTGTCATGTATTCATGTTCTTCCAATTTCTTTATGCCTATCAAAGCCTTCTTTGAATTGTCATTAATAGAAACACATGAAGCATTTCTGTCATTTTTGTCACGTTTATTCATCACTTTGCAAAAATTCTTCTGCAATTTTGTTTTATTTTTCTTCAAACCAGCTTATCTTTTTAAAATAATACCTGAATATCTCAGAATATATATTACTTTTAGGCAGCATTTCACCTACCTATAATGTCTATGTGTTCTTTTTAAACAAACAAACAAACAAACAAACAAACAAACAAACAAACACAAAATAGCTGTTGAACCCTGATATCCATGCAAATGACAAAAAGGCTTTCCTGAATTATTTATGTGACAAAATAAATGCAGACCCAGCTGCAACCATAACTACCATCAGTTCTCATATTAAAAAAAAAAAATCGGTCATGATGAACCTTCTTTAATGGTATCTAACATTTTGTTCATGTTTGTTATAGTTATTTCAGGAGGACTCTGACTAACTAGGGGTGAAACAATACCAGTGCATCGGGAGTTTTCATGCCTTATACGATACATGCTACGTTTTTTTTCGTTTCAATACAAAATGATACACTTGCTTAAAGAAATTACTTACTACTCGTAAAATGATACGCAGCATCTTTGTCAGTAAAATGTCTCGAAATGTGTTGTGATTAGGGTTTCAAGTTCACTACTGAAAATAGCCGCCACATGTGTCTACAGATAGCTTTATGTTTTGAACGTTCTCTCAAATATTCCAAGGCAAGAAGTTTCCATGTGATTTGGCGGAAATGTGTGTATCGCGATACGTATCGTATCGTGACCTATATATTGTGATACGTATTGTATCGTGACCTTGCTGTATCGTTTCACTCTTACTACCTACACTATCACTAGGGCTGGGACGGGTACCCGGGTCGGGTGGGTACTGAGAAGGACCCGGTTTCCCACAGGAATACCCGGACCCGTGGTTAGTCATGTGATATATTGTTTAATGACAAAAATGATCTAGGACTACACTACAAATCACTAATGTTTGCATTTCTTTCTGACTATGCAACCATTCCTTCTGACTTTTATATGTTTGAATGAAACTAAAACTTCCGTCAACTTCAGTGTATGCATGACCAGATTGTTTTACACATGTATCGAAATACATTTTGTCCAGGGCAACGGTCAAACTATTCCCAATCTCTTGAGACCAGCAGGTACCAGGGTAGGGTCAGGTAATAGAGGGGTGGGTACCTGGGTAGTAAATTTGAACTCGCCCAAGCCCTAACTATCACCATATGCTGTGTTTCAGGCATCGAATACCCAGACCACCATGAGAAGACGCTCATCCTTGCTGCTAACCCTCAACTTAATTGTTGCTCTCCTGGCAGCCGTATCACTCCTCGTCTACCAAATCCTGGGATGCATCAACACATGGCCACGACACCCGTACCTGCTTCAGACGCAATCCAGCCAGTCCAAACAAGTGTACACCTGGCTAAAGGGGGATGCTAACAAGATGTTGATCCCAGGGACTCCACCCTTCATTGTTCATTACCTGTGGTGCAGAAAGGGATACTTCGAGTTCAAGCATTACTTGAGTATATTAAGTATAGTCCACGTGATTCGCCCCGACGGGATCATGTTTCATTACACTCATCTGCCAGAATCAGACAGCAAAGGTTATGTGACGTGGTTTGAAGACATTCAACGTGATATTCCGTTTTTGTCGTTTAAAAAAATATCCAACACCCGCTACTGTGGTCATGCCTTTTTTGAAAAAGGTGATTTTGTTTTATCAGATTTTGTTAATCCGGCAGGTATATTCATGTCAGACGAAGTAGCAGTTGTTGGCTTTACAAGAGCAGATTATCTCAAGATGGTGCAATCATCAAGTTTTGTACATGTCCGAGCATTCCTGTTGCCTGCTTCAGAGCCCCATGTCATATCATCAGGAAGAGAATCTCAGGTCCTTAACTGTCCCTCACTTCAAGATTACAACAGACGTGGGATTAACAGCAGTGTTTGTGTTCAACTCACAGAAAGACTCTCTCCTTCCGATATCTGGCACCAGAAAAAGCCGTTTTATGAATTTGCACGAAATCTTGCCTACGGATCACCAGCTCCAATAAGTCCATCAGTGAACGAAACCTCGCTTGTACCATTACATTGTCATATAATACATGTGACCTCATCACCAGATTTAGACGTGACTGCATACGCGAGTATTCTCAGCGCCCTCTATGTTGCGAAAATGCAGCATGTGTATGTTCATGGGCCTGTCAAACCGTCCGGACGTCGATGGGAACACTTATCGAAACGTAACGTGAGTTTCATACCCGTGACGCACATGTCCAATATGCAGCCGGAAATAGGAGACATGATGTACGGTGCCTATGTGTTGTTGCGCCACGGTGGGGTAGTTGTGCGTTCGGACACCATTTGGAGAAAAGAGTTCCCCAATGATCTTCGAAAGTACACTTCCGTAGCAACACTTCGACGCTCAATATACAGAATCATTAACTATTCAGTTGATCTAAATGTACTGATTTCAAAACCTAAATCTAAATTTTTGAAATTATTGATCACACGTTTAAAGCAAGCACCGTCAAGACATTCAGGAGCTAAGAATGAAGAAGTTGCGTATCGTACTTACGTTGATGTTCCTTCTGTGCTTAAGGTGGACACAAACTTGTTGCAGCATGTTGAATGTTCTGAAGTACTGTGTCAGCCGAGGCCGGAGGATATGGGTGCGGGACGGTCACTTCTTGTCCAGGTGGAATGGAAAGAGGGCCGTCCGGAGACAGAGGGGGATCTTGCCAGCTACAGAGGCTCTGGTGTTGAGGCGATCAAAGCAGCTCTTCGTCTTACTGCATCAGTTTAGTTCACAAAAAATGGCAGTCCAGCGATGATGGAAGATTTTCAAAGCTGATGCTGTGGTGCAGAGACAATCAAAGCAGCTGTACGACTAACTGCAGCAGTTCTAGATATCTCCAGCTCGCTGCATCAGTTTAGGATAACTCCTTGACTCACTGCACTATTATTCCAGAGACTGTGATAGAACTTGGAACTTGGTTAGAGAAGCTTCCCTATCAAGTCAGTGCTGTACAGTTCAGGCTGGACAGAGTGATTCTCAAACTCAATGTGAGTGTGGGTTCTGGCGGGAATGTGGTTTTATATATGTACATTCAGACTGCTATCTTTAAGTCAGCCATAATTGTTTATTTTTTATGCCTCTGTGTATAAAGAAGTGCTGCATTATAGTGAGAGTGTCAGCACCTAATTTTGAAGCAGCCTTTCCCAGGTGTGAAAATATGTCTTTGTCCAGTTCTTTGGGTTCCTGGGGACAATGTCTTTTCATGATACAGGTGTGAATAAAACGTGTCACATGTCCCTCTAAGGTCACTATCTCAATAGCTAGGTGCCAATTTTGATCTTGTTGATGACTGTAGTTGTTATTAATATTTATCAAGCCTTTTTTAGAACTTGTTTCACAAATTTATTTTTTCAATAGCACAGTGTCGTTGCTTGAAATAAAATATTAAGTTAAATAGGTAAAAAGAATGTTTTAAATTATGTTCAAAAGGAGGTTTGGAAGGGTGAAATTATAGTAGAAAAAATTATGTTACAAATATGAATATTATAGTAGAAAAAATTATGTTACAAATATGACTATTATAGTAGAAAAAATTAGGTTACAAATATGACTATTATAGTAGAAAAAATTAGGTTACAAATATGACTTCCCTTCTCATTGATCTTTTGCAGTCTGGGTAATAAAAAGATACTGTAATCCGTTATTGTAAATCTTGAAATTAACGTGAACGTGAATTAAATGCATTTATGTCTCCAAAATGACTATCAACAATAAAACAGCCTCACTGCACACTTTCAATAGCGGAAATACCAACTTGAATATATAAACACAAACACTGTTTATTAAGATGCAGTTGTAACAATGATATTAATATGTCATTTAAAGAATAGGAATTACACAATAGGCATCCAGTGAGTTATCACTGCTTGGGGTCAAGAGTGTCAAACTAGGCATCATTGACAAAGTAGAGATAATTTATGGATAACAACTTCTTTATTAACTGTGAAGATGACATTTCGGTATAGATCCATATATCGATGTCCAGCAAGGCTGAATAATGTTGTTGTTGTTGTTGCATTAAGTGTTTAGGAGGTCGCCTTCTGCCTAGGCAATTTCGGCTGACCTGTCCCTCTTTGGGACTCCTGTGTGTGAGTAGGGTACACCTATCTATTGTGAGTTTAGTGTTCACATAATTTCTGTTTTTGTATTGATATAATTTCTATTTTCTTATATTGGTATGATTTCATTTCTATCCTTGGCTGCTCTGTTTATATACGTTCGAGTAGCTGTCCATCTCTCAGAAATAGAGTTAGTTTGGCCTTCGCTATTGCATCTCTTGGCTTTAGGAGATCTATGACAGATAGCGGATCTAACTGCAATTCTTGTTTTAACCTAACCCAGGCTGGGGCATGGTCTTTCTAGTTGTGATCAATGGTTTCAGCCTGATTGCAAGATGAACAACCTTGTCATAGTGCTTTTTGTGACCGAGTCTGAGGCGTGAGATAGCAATTTCAATTTTCCTTTCATTTGAGTATGAGTTTGGCTTTTGTTGGACCTTGGGTTGAATTTTGTATAGCCATCTGCCGATCTTACTTGCGCCCCACTGGGCTTGCCATCTTTCTGTTATGGGGAATTTGATTTTGATTTTGATCTCTAGTTTACTAAAGGGAATAGGCTGTATATCCGCTTTGTCTAGAGCTAGCTTCGCCAGTGAGTCTGCTTTTTCATTTCCATGAATATCTATGTGAGAGGGGATCCAACACAGCTCCACCTGTTGCCCTTGGTCTGGTAGTTTTGTTTATTCGTATAGAATATTGTTGACTGTGTTTGGCCTGGAGTTTGAGTTTCTGCCACTGATGGCCTGAAGTGCACTTAGCGAGTCTGATAGGATGACTGCCTTTGCTTCCGGAAGTTCCGGAATGAGTTTGAGTGCATGATGAATTGCCTCCAATTCAGCCGTGAATACTGACTGACCATCAGGCAAGCGAACTGAATGTGCTTGGGGTTTGGAGCTGTGGATATGGGTCCCGTAACCAGCACTGTTGTTGATAGGATTCTTGGATCCATCAGTGTATATATTGGCCCAGCTGTCCCAGGTAGTTTGAATTTTAGTGATAGCTACTGATCGTAGTAGGGTTGAGTTTTCTAATGAATAATGGACATGTACAGAATATACATAGTAGGTGGAGGATTAACAGTAACAACTGCATACATCAGAGAGATTAACGTCAGTAGGTAAATGATACGTAATTTATGACACAGCCCCACCAATTTATCACCAATTTGTGCGTGACTACCTAGTCTCAGAACGCGCTCAATATCTCTAAGCTTTATTTACCATACTATATCTGCCCCTGTGTTATGTGTAATTTATGTCACAGCCCCACCAATTTATCACCAATTTGTGTGTGACTACCCTAGTCTCAGAACACACAATATCTCTAAGCTTTATTTACCATACTATATCTGCCCCTGTGTTATGCGTAATTTATGTCACAGCCCCACCAATTTATCACCAATTTGTGCGTGACTCCCTAGTCTCAGAACACGCTCAATATCTCTAAGCTTTATTTACCATACTATATCTGCCCCTGTGTTATGTGTAATTCATGACACAGTCATCGGAGATCTTTTACTTATTTAGACTAGTTTATACATCTGTGTTTCAACTTTGATATATTTATGGGACCCAGGTGCAACCTGGTTTTGTCTGGTGCAACCTGGTTTTGTCCGGTGCAACCTGGTTAATCTGGTGCAACCAGCTTTCCATGTCAATGTGCACCTGGTGTGAGTTACATGAGTTAGTCAAGTTCCTCCACTCAAACCCTTGTATATGTAATCTGTCCTTGTATATGTAATCTGTCCTTGTATATGTAATCTGTCCTTGTATCATGTGTATGTAACCAGAGTGCAAATATGTGAAAATCTGAGAGCTGAACTTGTATGGTTTGGTAGTCTGGATACCGAAGCCTTGCTTTTACAGCACGGATTAATTTAGAGCACTTTTTACATTTTGTATGACAAAGGAGCAATCATACTTTTCTTACATAGAATTGGAGAGTGTGGTCGATACGGTATTTATATTGATTCTTACACAAGATGTTTAAGATACTGGTTTAAGCTTCTTAATATGTCTCAAGAGAGATTTCCAAAACGGGTTTATGATATGTTAGTTAGGTTTGATGCCGTTGGTAGGAATACATGGGTTTCGGCTATTAAGAATATGTTATATTCTCATGGCTTCGGACATGTGTGGGAATTTCAAGGTGCTGGTGATCCTGAATATTTTATAAGTGAGTTTAGACTGAGGTTTAAGGACTGTCATGCACAAACATGGTATTCTGAATTGTCTGGATGCTCAAAATTAGAACTGTATTCATTATTTAAGACATCATTATCACTTGAACCGTATCTATTAAATGTATTATCAAAAGAAAAGCGATGTATGCTTACCCTTTTACGTATTGGAGAACTGGGAATTATGCATAACATAGGAAGGAGGGATGGCATTGATAAGACACTCCGGTTTTGTCCATTGTGCAAGTTAAGGGCAGTTGAAAATAAAATTCATTTCATTCTTGTTTGCCCCATTTATGAAGATATTCGCTCAAAATATTTCCCATATTTAGACTTCATTACTGGTAATAATCGTAAAGACCCACTGGTTAGAGTGTAAAACTCTTCTGATGTAAACCGCCTTGAGAACTTAACCATTTATGTTAAAAATGCTATCTGTCTTCGTTCTTCCTACCTGTAAATATTATTTCATGCAGCACTTGATGTGAAACTAATTTGTATATATCTGTACGTGGGCCTGAGGCCTTATTACCGAATAGACTGATTGATTGATTGATACATAGAATTAATATATAGAATTTTATGGCAGGCTGATTACAAGGTTCATCCTTAGTATTCTTTTTAGTGCAACTGCTGATATCTGTGATTGGGAAACCTCCTGGTGACTTTTGATTGACAATAACTAGGGGGGAGGGCGGGGATGTCACAGGATGTTTGATCACACTCGGGCATATACTTGAGTTGGCTAGTCACAGGGATTGACCTCCCGTGATATTGCTGGAATATTGCTAAAAGTGGCGTAAAACCATACTCACTCACTCACTCACTCACTCACTCACTCCTCACTCACTCACTCACTCACTCACTCACAGGGATTGAATTAACCAGTGTCTAGCATGTCAGTCTGTCAAAACCAATAACTTATCTGCATTTTACTGTCCGAATATTAAAATCCCAAACGAACAATCCCTTAACAATAAAATGCAACCGACATCGCTTTTCTTTAAAGCTGGAAAACCCGCAGCGATAACAGCGTTCCTGGCAAGCTATCAGTGTCTGCCAGTCAGAATTAAGTTTCAACATCTGCGTAATTTGGTGCTTGTATTGGCTACAGCCATACTAACAGAGGCATTCTTATGAAGAATTATATTTTTATCAGTCTGAATGGCTACGTCCCATGGAATTCCCGCATCTAGCCGATCAAGAAAATATACATCTCAAACTTTTGGCCACTTAATTCATTGATGTTTGCAACTTAATTGAATTCGTTATTATTCCAGATTATGCTTTGTGGTTGAAAGATAACAACAGATAAGATATTGGGTACAGTATTGAGAGTGGCAAGTCTCATGTGAAGAGTGATGTTCTTATATAGCAGTTGCCTTCCTAGTTTATATGTTTCTAAAAGAAAAATAACAAATATTGGACATTGTTATTTAAGTATATTAACACCCGTGTAGATAGTAGATGAATACCTAAAATATGATTTAAAGCAGGATAAGTGGAACAAGATAATATTTTTTAGATTATAAATTATGAAATCTGATATCAATTAATATTTTGTAGACATAACCTCCTACAAAGGACATATGACTCTCTGTAGCACAGCTAGGGAGTCATAAAGACCCCCAGTTTTAAGAAGCTAGGGCAACCCTGTTTGTTGTATGTTATTTTGTGTACTTCAATAAACTTTTCCATGTGTTATTGTCCAATGTAAAAATGTAGTCTATGTCATTTGCTGAAAACATTCCATTTTATATGGTTATGTACCTGTCAATGCTCAAGAAAACTTTCTATGCACCACAGTCCATATATGCAATATAGCTGTTACATGATGTGAAGATAGTTATTCTTCCACATGGCCAGAACCTTACCTTGTGTGTTCAGTAGAGTCCCACTCCTCCAGAAACTAACAGAACCTTACCTTGTGTGTTCAGTAGAGTCCCACTCCACCAGAAACTAGCAGAACCTGACCTTGTGTGTTCAGTAGAGCCCCACTCCACCAGAAACTAACAGAACCTGACCTTGTGTGTTCAGTAGAGCCCCACTCCTCCAGAAACTAACAGAACCTGACCTTGTGTGTTCAGTAGAGTCCCACTCCTCCAGAAACTAACAGAATCTTACCTTGTGTGTTCAGTAGAGGAGTACCTTTAACAACTCCAGTATTTGTTTTATGTTATTGTGTGTACTACCTTCTGTTTATACATGCACAACAATGTATTCCATGTTATTTGCTGAAAACATTCCATTTTATATATTTATGGATGTTTCTATGCACAACAGAACTATCCATGTATCACAGTCCATATATGCAACGTAGATGTGAAGATAAAGTTATTCTTCCACATGGCCAGTGTTATTGTTATTCCCCCGTTTTAAAATACCCCGGGGGGGGGATATACCGATCAGCATGTCCGTCCGTTCACGTTCCACGTTTTCCATTCCAGAGCAGAACTTCCGAACCGTTGAATAAACGTCTGAGACCTGCATTAACTGGACTAAGTGTAATCCCAACTCATTCACTTGGGCTTCACCACTGTGGTTAATATCATGTTGATCACATTGAAGACCCGTGAAGATCCGGGGTAGAATAGATCTTCTGCAACCCATGCTTGCCGTAAAAGGCGACTATGCTTGTCGTAAGAGGCGACTGAGGGATCGGATGGTCAGGCTCGCTGACTTGATTGATGCATGTCATCGTATCCCAACTGCGTGGATCGACGCTCATGTTTTCAATCAGTGGATTGTCTGGTCCAGACTCGATTATTTACAGACCGCCGTCAAATAGCTGGAATATTGCTGAGTGCGGTGTTAAATATGCCCCACACATGCCATGTGCCAAAATGATATGACAGTATTTCTGAAAAGGCAAGCAAATTG